CACAAAAATTTGATATGGGATAGGTCTGGTCTTCCTCTAGATTCATGTCTGACCCGTGAATTGAGGGCACTTGTAGCAGTCTGACGTGGTGGTTAACGTTTCAAATATATACGCTGCACTATCTGGGCTCGAGTCCCGCCGAGGTTGCTGATGAGACTAGTTTAAACGAGGTCGAAACCGCATTCCATGATTCCTACTCATATAATATTATGGAAAAATCCCGTTACCAATCTTCTGTCGCCCTAAGCGAATTGGAGTAAATACCTCATATATATGTTTATATGAGCACGCTAGGAAGCCTGAAATCAAATACTGACTGAGGAAATACAAGCCTCTTGCCGATCCCCTATGGAGCAATCAGCACTAAATTAACAATGCCATGTAGCTGAAACGCATACATTCACGTGGGTTTGATGGGAAAATGTTGTATACGAATCTCAGACTTGAAAATATTTCGTACCTCATTGGCCTTGGCCACCCGGATAGTGCTACTACACGCATAGTTATTATGGCTTTAAAAGCGTATTTGTGTCAGAAATGCCAAGAGGCAAGACTAACTCTGGGACACTTAAAGATTTACGTCTCTGTGTCTTGCAGACTTGCCTTATTTGAACCCGACAGTTTAGCAGTAAAGAGTGTCTGATGCGCTTTCGGCTAAAAGGAGTGTCAACTTTCGAATTCCGACTTGAAAATGGCCTGTCTTGTGTCTTTTTAACTCACTTTGCTTCCAAGATTTTGTATACGTTGTCATACTGCTCGAAAACCATCGGAGGTTCATTGACCATCTTTCTTGCTAGGTAATCACGTCGAGTCAGTTTTAAGTAATACTTTAGAGGGGTTCTTCATTCCATATAGACAAAATAGAGGGATAACTTTATGTATAAAATTTTCGAAAGTGTGCATTTGTTGAGTCCATTTCCATTTCGAGTGAAAGTGTCTGGTGAAGAGATTCAAAGGTCGACCTCACCAGAAGACGACGGCAGATTCCCATTGACCAGCCACCGATTGGCTCTACTGGAGAATTTTTGTTGACGCAGTTTCCGAGACAAGCTGCATCGATTTCGATGAAAACGTTCCAAGCTTTTGTTCATATTATGATGGCCATCATCAATGCAGGGTATCATTCTTACAAACATATCTGGGTTAATGAGTCAGGAAAAACCTCACTGGCTCATCCTTAAATGCTGCATACTCACCCTCTTTCTAAGCTCTTCGATGAGGTATAAGGTGATCTGGTTAGTTCAAGTTACATGTCAACCTTGAAGCATATGAATGTCTCTGTCTGTGTGTGGTTATATGCCTTTATGTGTTCGTATATTTGATAAACCAGCAGTGATGGCCCAAAATAATTAGGACAGAAAAGTAATGTCTCTTCTCGGTCATCAAAGTTTAATGGCTACCACCACTCCCTCTTATTTGCAATGCAACCATCACTGGTTGCGTAATGTCGAACACATGCCTGGTTATGTTGATGAGTTTTTTTCCCATCATGTGAGAGAGGAAGAGTGGATTAAAAAATACAGAAAAATGACCGTGATTAGAACCAAGACATAAAATACTAGTTGAGTCGCCTCCTTTTTGCATTAGGATAAACACACTTTCTATGCTTGCTTCTATTAAGCCAAGTCAGTTAAGTTCGATGGCCACTCTAAGCTTGCGTTTCTCTGAAGACATAGCATAATCGGCAAAATAAGTTTAATACCATTCAATCTCATGTCCAGTTTCTGCCAGCAGCCTCTCATGCACTTTTATGCTCAGCTACCTTTTTACGAATGAGACGGCAAGCCTCTTCAACATAAAAGCAACCACCTGAAGACATTATGCTTTAGCAACCCGATCTGGATAATGGGTCAACTTACTCTCTAAAAGTGGGCATAACTGAAGAAAGCGTCATAGCTCCCCTGAAAACCGCTTTTATTCTCCCCTCCTAACTAGTTCGCCTATCTTTTAGAGAGGATGCATCAAGGCATAGACAAAGCATCGGAAAAAGTCTCCTTAGCTCTCCTTACATATTCACCATTCAAAAATGTATTCCTTATTAATTTAATATTATAGTTGCCCAAGTGCAATTCCGGTATTGTAACCTTTGATGCGGTCCTTGTTATAAACAACTCCACATAATGAGGAAATATAAATTTCAATCTGACCGTAGTTTAATTGAATATATGAAGACCAAGATGTTGTGGCCTCTGGTATGGTCGCAGTCTCCTTTCGATT